GCTAGACACTCTGTGGACCTTCAGTGACGCCCAGGTGACCCTCACTGAAACGAACCTTGGCTCTCATGTGCCAGTCGTGCAAACACTTTCCTATCTTTACCCGTCCATGTCCTCTCATTCAAATCCCACAGCCTGCTGGGTGTCAGATGTGCCCAGCTTGTGTCCCTGAAACCCAAGACTGAATTCCAGAGGACAGCGGAGGTTAAGAATAGGAAGTATTTACTGAAGGATGGCTTCTGAACAGGTGCTGCCACCAAGGCCCTTTGTCACAAGAAATTTATACAGCAAAGTCACAACCAGGTCAAACTGCCATCAACCTATGGGCTTCCAGGTGTGGTGCTCAGCCAGTCTGATCCAGTAGGGAAGCATGTCACATAGCAAGGTACACGAGAAGAGCAAAGGCAGCTTTAGGAAAAGCTGGGTCCTGATGTGCTGCTCACCCACCTGTATCATTGGGTCCCACCTGGTGATGATGTCCAGCTGGCTGGCACTGGGCCAGGTGATACCAATCACAGTACAATCGACCATGTGCCACTCTGTCTTGGAGCCCACCTAGTATGGACTGGAACCTCCACTAACTGTGAGCTAAATAAATCTTTCCTTCCTTAATTTTGGGTGTTGGGTCTTTTGTCCCAGCAAGGAGAGAAAGGTAATTGAGGCACAGCCTTCTTCCTATGTGCCTCCAGCCACGGCTTTAGTGTGTCCTAACCTCTTGCTCTGACTGGCTCAAGGGCCAGGCCCTGTCTGGCTACCTACTAATTTCTACATTTTTTTTGCATTTTAGGGAAGGGTCTACAGGGTGTGTAGGGTCTCCCTACTAGACTGGACTCATAGTGATCCACCTGTTTACAGCCTCCCAAGAGCTAGGATTACAGGCACGTGCCACCACGTCCAGTCTCTCGTTATATATTCTTGATAATAATCCTTTGTCTGAGGAACAGCTGCTGTGTATAATTTGATACCACCTCGGTGGCTGAGCTTTGTGTCTGGTGCAGTGATGTCTCGGTTAACTACGGGCCAAGCAATGAGCGCGGGCTTGTGCTTTCCCTCCTTGTGTTTACGTGTTTAAGGAGAGCTGCATTTCAGAGGCTCTAAAAATTCCCCTCTAGGGCCTGGGGTGTACTTCAGTGTTAAACATCGAGTTTAGTATGTTGTTCAATCCAAGATTCTTTATTTAGATGTCCTGTGGTTTTCAAACACACCCTTTATCTGACATTTGAAACGTATTAGTGCTTTACTGAACTTCCTCTTGTGTATTTTCCCACATTTGTTTTTTGCTGAGAGTACATTCCTGGATGTGGAAGGGCTAGACTGGAGGGTGGGATGTCTAAAATGTACTGATCAAAAGGCCTGCGTGGGTTTCTCCTGCTCTTCTGTATAGGATTAATCAATCAGTTGGCCTGTTACTGAGGACAAATGGCTTTTCAGACATTCCCTGGTGTCTGTGAGCCATGGCTTGGTTGCTGTCTGGTGTCTGCTTGCCGCCGAGCTGTGGCTCCTGTACTTGGCTGCATAGCAATTCACACACTGAAGAAATCACTTTGTGTTTAATAAGGCAGCGACCTTCTCCCCCAGTTTCTTTCCTGATGTGCGTGGCAATGCCTCGGTGTGCTAGCAGAGCCCGGAACACCACTGTGGAATTTAACAGCCACATCGTTGGTTTGTAGAACTTAACATGTGCTTGATATGTTTCCCCCCAGCTCTTATTTTCCACTCTTAGACTCGGTTTTAGGTATGCCTGTCATATAAAATCTTGTTAGATGTCTTGCCTTTTCTTTTTTCCACTGAGTTCAGTGTGGGGTTTTCCCTTCTAGCAGATGTTCAGTTTTCGGTCTCTTAACCATAGCCTGAGGTCTTAGCCCACTGTTCTTCCTTTCACTACTCTTTTTTTCCTCTTTTCATTTAGTGGTTACATTTATATCTTTAAATATAGCAGTAGTGATATGAATATATTCTCAGCTTCTAAAATTAATGCTTAAATGTATATTTCCACTGATAAGGACATTTTAAAAATTAACTTTGTTTTCTCTTTCACTTTTCTATCCATTTTTGTTGGCACATTGTAGAATTTTTATCCATGTTCTTGTCAAGTTATTACATGCATCTATTAATTTAAGCATTATGACAGAGGGGGACATCAGGCTTTGAGGGAGCGGGACATCAGACTTCTGAACTGGAACCTCCTTGTAGTAAGAAGGAAAGAGTCATAATCACCCAGGACGGAAGCTGCAGCAGGCTTAAAAATGGGTGATGTTGAGAAAGGCAA